ATTAAAATAGGCTCCTAAACAATGGCACCAAAAGTTTGACAAAACAATGTTGTGAAATGGATTCAAGATCAACGAATGTGACGAATGTGTATTTATGAAAGATACACCGAATGCCTATGTAATTGTATGTCTATACGTGGACGACATGTTAATAATGGGCAATAGTCGCGAAATGTTGTTTAACACCAAAAAGATGCTGACAAAGTATTTCGATATGAAAAATATAGGTGTGGCAGATGTAATACTAGGGATTAAAATATCTACAACGCAGGATGGAATTGTACTTTCACAATCTCATTACATAGAAAAAGTACTTTGACATGTTTGAGTCCTATGAGAACTTCTCTTGATCCGAGTATGCACTTAGTCAAGAATACGTAAGAAAGTGTATTACAACTAAGGTATTCACAAATAATTGACAGTCTTATGTATATTACTAACTGCATTCGATCGGATATTGCTTTTGCGATCAATAAACTTAGTAGATTTACAAGTAATCTAAGCCATGATTATTGGAAAATTTTGACTAGGGTTCTAAGGCACTTGAAGTATACCATAACCTATGGATTACACTTTACAAAATATCTTGCGGTACTAGAAGGATATTGTGATGTGAAATGGATATCCGATATGAAGGATTCCAAGTTTACTAGTGGTTATGTATTCACCATTGGTAGAGTTGCTATATCATGGAAATCAATAAAGCAAATGTGCATAGCTCGATCAACGATGGAATCTGAGTTTATTTCTTTGGACAAAGCTTGAGAAGAAGTAGAATGGCTTCAAAATTTCTTAGAAGATGTTCCATGTTGGCCCAAGCTGGTACCTACGATATGTATACATTGTGATAGTCAATTGACAATTGGAAGGGCTTGAAGCAGCATGTATAATGGTAAGTCTAGACATATTCGTCGTAGACACAACACCATTAAACAACTAATCTCAAATGGCGTTATCTCCATAGATTATGTGAAATCAAAGGAGAATATTGTGGATCTACTTACGAAAAGTTTGCCTATAGATCAAGTACGTTGCCTATAGAGAGGAATGGGATTAAAGCCTATTATGTAAGAGTTTTTGCAATGATAACCCTACCTTGCTGGCTGGAGATCCTAAGATCTTGGTTCAAAGGGAAAACTAAGTTGTGAAAATTCCATGAAGCACTTGGGAAATTAGAATTCCTAACTCATTACTATGATACTAAAGTGCTTTCTGTAGAGTGGATAGATGTTAATATTATCTTTTAATGATTCCTATATCTTGATTAAGTGAAGTAGAGTAGGGCAGAATACTCTTAATAAGAGGTCACTCATGTAAGTGTGAAGTGGGGCTGCTTAGATGAGAATTGTTTAAGACTTGAATTCTCTAAACACTTATGAAACTAAGAGGGGTTCAGGGCTAAAATGGACCAAGTTGATAGTTTGATTACCCGCAAGTGAACGGGATCGTAGACAAGTAATAAAGTCGTGTGTAGAGCGTCAAACCCACGAGGACTATGTGTCTGATCAAGTTAAAGCTAATAATTCCTTTAATCGAATAGTAAAGCCGAGTTGTAACTAACATTATTAAATCTATCAACTAAATAGAAAGCAAAGTAAAAGTTTATCAAATTCGCGAGAAGTATTGCTAAGATGTGAAATCCCCCTTGCTACTCAATTTTCAGTTCAACAATTTAAATTGACAATTTAAAATTATGTTTGTTGGTTAATGTTCCTAATTTATTTAAAAGCTTCTCTCGATAGCCTTTAAATCTAAACCTGCACATGATTTTCCTATATCTTTATAAAAATACAAACGTGCAAGAAAGCATTAAACGGGCTAAAACATACATAAAAATCATGTGAAGCATACATGTGTATCTCTATCCTCTATCAAACCTCACAATATTTATTACTATGTGCTAATGATGTTATTTTCTCCCTCAATAACAATAATACTCACAAACATTTCAATTAATGACCAATTAATTGAAAAGCACACGAAACTATAATAAATATCCAAACAATTAAACAAATTATCGTCAATTTAATTATTCAAACTAACAACTTCATAACAGGGGTTCATCACATCCTAGCAATAAAAAAATTTAGCCAAACCTAGAGTCGAAATTAAACAAGCAAAAGAAGAAAGACATCACCAATAATTTGATAGAACGTGATAAATTTCACAATTAAGTATTCCGTCCGCTTTTTGCTAAAATTGCCTAATGCCTTTGTATCTCTTCCTCGGTTTTTGTATGTGTGTCGTGTAGATATATATATATTTTCCCAAGTCAGCAGCCTTTGTTCACTCCAATAATGGCTGCTTTTGTGTATTTGTGTCTCTCTTCAGTTATGCATGCATGTGTGTATAAATCATTATCATCCCAGCCAACAACTCTTTTTATTCTGTCAAAACAACCGCAATTTTTTACTCCAAAATCAACCTCAATTTTCTGCCTTTTCTTCTTGCCTCTTGCTGCCCTTTTGTGTGTGTGTATGTATATTCTCTTTCAACAGTCCGGCTTCAATTTTTGTGTGTATATGTAATAAATTTCACTAGTAGACACCCCAATTTCTTGTCTTCTCTGTGCGCATGTCTAGAGATTAATTGGCCGCTTATTTGTTCTCTCGTGCTTGTGCTAAAAATTCTCAAGCAGCTCTTTTTTTTCCCCTCGAAGCTGTCGTTTTTCTCTATGGTGTTGTAAAGAATAATTGGCTGCCTCTTTCTTTTTTCCTCAACTTTTCTTGCGTGTCTATTATATATAACCTAGCAACCCAATTAATTCTTCCCACTCCAATTCCAATTGTCTTTAAAATCATACAATTTAATCCTTGAACTCAATTAATTATGTAACCAATGCCTTTCTTTAGTAAGTCAAGTCCTTGAATTTTCAAAGCGTAGAACTTGATTCCCAAACTTTCCCTCCAACGGCTAATTTGTTCGTCACCCTTCTTCATTTGCTCCAAACGAGTTCATCACTAAAAACAAAATAAAATTAACCCAAATTAAATAGAAATTAATAAATTGATGACATAAAAGTTTGATAATACGGCTTAAATAAGTGCAAAAATTGCACTTATCAAATACCCCCAAACTTAAACCTTTGTTCGTCCTCGAACAGAACTAAAACTTAAATAGCAACAAATACACAAGCATGCAAAAATATTTGGTTGGATGGTCCAAGTTTTTTTTTCTTCAGGATCTGAGATCACCGTATTAAAACTATTTATCACTTCAAGGTCCCAATACCAAACCAATATTCACTTTTCCAATACAAAACCAACGTGTGTGTGTAAAGAACTAAGTAGACATTCATGAATCCACAAGTTGTCTCAATTTTCGACCTTCTGTGGTCAAATATATCATTTCATCTCTCGTAAGATTCACACATCCCAAACTTATTCTTTTTGATCTGAGGTTGAATTTTTTCATTACCATCCTCACCCTCTCCAATTTAGGTAGACATCATTAATTGCAAGTTAACACCTCAATGAACAAGGATTCTCCAATTATTTGATTGCTTCGACAGCCAAGACTCAATTAAGCTAATTATCCTTCATCGAAAGTTAAATTCCCTCGAACAAGTGTTAGGACTTAACAAAGCATCTAGTGCATTTTTTATTATTTTATTTTATTATTAGTATTTTTTGCACTTCCCCTTAAACTTTCTAGATGACCCATGTAACAGGCTTTAGGTCGATTACTCCCAAGTCAGACGACTTTAGGGCACCAGGTTTTTACACACTCTTACAGGCTTAATAACTCAAGTCAAAAAAGTTTCGAACAGAACAATTTTTTTTCTTTTTTTTTTCAAGGGCAACTTCATCTCCAATTGCTTTCTAAATGACCCCTGTGACGAGTTTTAGACCAATGACTCCCAAGTCAGATGACTTTAGAGCATCATATTTTAAGATACCCTTGCACGTTTAATTACTCGAGTCGTAAAGGTTTCAAAGAGAAATTTTAAATTTTAAAATATATGCCTTGGATTAGTGCAATGCCCCTTACCATATACCTTTTCAAGAAAACTGACTTCCAACTCAAAACTTTCACCCAATTTTATCCTATTTATCTCAGATAGTCCACACATTTTTTTTCTTTTTCACACAAGGAATCCCTAACCACATCCATATCTTTCTACAATAGTAAAATCATCCCAAACTGTGCTAAATTAATTTAGTATGGTTTAGATAAAGTATCCATGTCCAACTAAATCAACCTATCAAGAGCATGAAACAACTCATTTCATCACAATGTCAAACTCAATTCTAGTGCGCGTATAATATCATGTTTTGCAAGGTTAAGTTTTAATCAGTCTAGCATACAACCCATCCATAGTTCATAAATCAACACTAAATCTCAAATTTAATCATCATTGTTGATCTAGAATATCTAACCCACACAAGCACACAATTGAATATAAGAGTTTTTTTTTAAATTTTAAATTTTTTCTTTCTTTTTTTTTTTTAAAAAAATACATAAAAATATAAAAAAACATGCGAAAAACAAAAATTAAATTTTTTTACCCCCAAGCTTAAAATTGACATTTTTCTCAATGTCATAAAATATAAATAAGCACATAAAAGGGGTAGGGAAGAAAAGGAAGAAGTTACTCCCCAATATATTAGATATATATTTTTTGTTGAATGTGTGAGACCCTATGTGTGACGACTAGGCAAATTTTTCATTATGCTTGTCCCTTGGGTTATGTTGGTTTGAATGTTCCGCGACGTCATGTTCCTACATATGGCAATTCAAATCAAACATTAAAATTCAAATAATCTAAAATGTGTTACTTGGCCCAAACAATCAAAATACCAACAATAAACTAAATGGTCTAAGGGGAGTATTAAGGATGGTGATACTCTACAAATTAAAACTGACTAAATCTAAAGCAACCTAGTAATCAAAACAAATCTATACTATGCAATGCAGAAAGCAAAATAAAAAGGTTAGAAGATAGGGTTGCCTCCCATCTAGTGCTTAATTTATAGTCTTTCGCTAGACTGTCAGATCAATCATTTTGGGTCGTGAAGTTGGGTAAGTAACTTCTCATTATCAAAGTCACTATCCCAATATACTTTCAATCGTTGTCCATTTACTTTGAAGGTTTCTTTTGTCCCGTTAGTCATTTCAGTTGCCCCTTTTGGAAAGACTTGAACAACTGTGAATGAACCAGACCATTTAGAACGCAATTTCACAGGAAAAAGTTTCAACCTAGAATTGAACAACAATACTTTTTGACCTGGAGTGAACTCACGCTGCTGGATGTATTTATCATGCAATTTTTTTGTCCTCTCCTTATACAGCTTTGCATTCTCATAGGCATCCATCTGAAATTCATCCAACTCATTCAACTGTAGCATTCTCTTATCTCTAGCTGTTGTCAGGTCTATGTCTAACCGCTTTATTGTCCAATATGCTCGATGCTCTAATTCCACTGAAAGGTGACAAGCTTTTCCAAATACAAGGCAATATGGTGACATGCCTATTGGTGTTTTGTAGGCAGTTCTGCATGCCCATAATGCATCGTCATGTTTTCGTGACCAATCAGTTCTTGAGCTATTCACTATCTTCTCGAGAATTCTCTTTAGCTCCATATTTGACACTTCCAGCTGGCCACTTGTTGGGGGGTGATAAGGTGTAGCAACTCGATATTTCACCCCATATTTTGCTAATACTGATTCCAAAAGCTTGTTGCAGAAATGTTTACCACCATCACTGATGATAGTTCAAGGAGTGCCAAAGCGCGAGAATATGTTCTTCTTCAAAAAATTTACAATCATTCGAGCATCATTAGTTGGTGCTTCTACTGCTTCTACCCATTTCGATACATAGTCAACTGCCAACAACACGTACTGATTTTTATAAGAAGAATGAAATGGTCCCATAAAATCGATCTCCCAAACATCAAAGAGCTCCACTTCTAGATTCGAATTCAAAGGCATCTCATTCTTTTTGGAGATCGTCCCTGTATGTTGGCATTGATCACAGTGTTTCACATATTCATGTGCATCCTTAAATAGTGACTGCCAATAAAACCTTGACTGTAAAGCCTTCGCTACTATCTTAGAAGACCCAAAATGCCCAGCATGAGCAGAAGAGTGGCAACGCTCCAAAATTCTAGAGACCTCTTCATTTGGTACACATCATCGGATAATTTGATCAGCACATCTCCTGTATAAGATGGGATCCTCCCAATGATAATACTTCACCTCTAAAAAGAACTTTTTCCTATGGTGCTATGTAAACTCAGGTGGAAGCACATTAGATGCCAAGTAGTTCACTATGTCCGCATACCATGGTCCACTGTCAATTGCAAAAATACGCCCAAATTATATCACCCTCTTTTTTTGTTCTGCCTGTTCAAGTCTTGAAAGATGGTCTGCTACCACATTTTCACATCCTTTCTTGTCTCGAATCTCCAAATCGAACTCTTGAAAGAGGAGTACCCACCGAATTAACATGGGCTTCGCTTCCTTCTTAGACATTAGATATTTTAGGGCCGTGTGATCTGTGTAGACAATAATCTTCTATCCCATGAGATATGATCTGAATTATCGAAGGCAAACACAATGGCCAATAGCTCATTTTCTGTGGTTGCATAATTCAGCTGTGCCTCGGTCAAAGTCTTGCTTGCGTAGTAGATAACATGGAGAATTTTAATCTTTCTTTGACCCAATACTGTCCCCACTGCATAATCACTAGTGTCGTACATCAACTCAAATGGCAGGTCCCAATCTGGTGCAGCTATAATCGATGCAGAAATTAACTTTTCTTTCAAAATGTTGGAGGCTGTCAAACACTTTTTAGAAAAGTTAAATGGTGTGTCCTTTTCAAGCAAGTTACAGAGTGACTTTGTGATTTTAGAGAAATCCTTAATAAAGCTACTGTAGAACCTTGCATGGTTGAGGAAGTTATGTACTGCCTCAACTGAAGTTGGTAGAAGAAGCTTATCTATCACCTGAATCTTTGCTTTATCCACTTCAATACCATTTGCTGAAATCCTGTGCCCAAGTACTATTCCTTCATGTACCATGAAGTGTCACTTCTCCCAGTTTAGCAGCAAATTCGTTTCCTCACAACGTTGTAAGACCATTTCCAAATTTGAGAGGTAATTTTCAAATAATGAATCAAACTCTAAAAAGTCATCCATGAAGACTTCAATAATTTTCTCCATCATATTTGAAAAAAATTGCCATCATGCATTGCTGAAATGTGGCAGGGGCATTATACAACCCGAATGGCATCCTCCTGTATGCAAAAGTACCATAAGGCATGTAAATGTAGTCATCTCCTGATCTTCTGGAGCTACTGCAATCTGATTGTAACCTGAGTACCCATCCAAGAAACAATAGTGTGAATATCCAACTAGTCTCTCCAACATCTGATCGATAAAGGGCAAAGGAAAGTGATCCTTTCTAGTTGCATTGTTCAATTTTTTGTAGTCTATGCATACTCTTCATCCAGTGATTGGTCTTGTCGGTATCAGCTCATTATTCTCATTCTTTACCACTGTAATGCCTCCTTTCTTTGGAACTACATGGATTGAACTAACCCACTTGCTATCAGAAATCGGATAGATGATGCCTGCATCAAGGATTTTCAATACCTCTGCTCACACAACGTCCTTCATGGTGGGGTTCGATTTGCGCCGATTTTTCTATGTTGGCTTATACTTTTCTTCCATCAAGATTTTGTGCATGCATATCGATGGACTGATTCCTCTGATGTCTGCTATAGACCATCCAATTGTTGTTTTGTGTTCCCACAAGACCCTTAGTAATCTCTACTCTTTTAACTCTGCCATCTCATTTGCAATAATTACAGGGAGTGTAGACGACTCTCCTAAATATGCATACCTCAGATGTGATGGCAACTGCTTGAGCTCAAGAATTGGTGCTTTCCGAACAGAAGATAGTGGTTTACTTGGTCCTGAACCAAGTTCCTCAAACTGTCTTTTCCTAATGGATGGAGCAGGTTCCATCATGTAAGCAATCTGACTTATCTCTTCAACTGTTGATATTTTATCTGGTGAGTGCACAAGAAGATTCTCCAAGTGGTCTCGAGGATGCTCAAGAATGAAAGTCTCTTCCACAGTCAAATCCACCATATCAATGCATAGATAGCTATCTAATTCTGTAGGGTACTTGATAGCACTGAAAACGTTGAATGTCACTTGCTCGTCATTTAATCGCAACATCAATTGTCTTTTCTGAACATCTATTAAAGCTCAACACGTTGTAAAGAAAGGTCTTCCCAATATTAATGACACGTCTTTATCCTCTTCAGCCATATCCAGAATGATGAATCTGTAGGATACATAAATTTATCGACCTTCTCCAATATGTCTTCAATAATTCGCCTGGGAAATTTTACGGACCTAACTGCCAACTGCAATGAGATCGATATTGCCTTCGCCTCTCCCAAGTTTAATTTCTTGGAAATAAAATAAGGCATGATGTTAATACTAGCACCTAAATCACAGAGAACTTTATCAAATTTCATGTTACCAATAGTGCAAGGGATAGTAAAACTCCCTGGGTCCTTTAGTTTAGGTGGTAGCTTATTCTATAAGATGGTACTGCATTCTTCATTCAGCATCACTGTCCCCAAATCCTCCAGCTTCTTTCTATTTGTGAGTATTTCTTTCATAAATTTCCCATAGCTAGGCATTTGTGCAATTGCATCCACAAATGGTATATTGATCTGCAGCTTTTTGAATACCTCAAGAAATTTCGAGAACTGTTTGTCCAGCTTATGCTTCTGTAGCCTATGTGGAAATGTGAGTGGTTGAACCATTTTTTTTGTAGGAGCGGTTACCTTAACCTTTGGGTCCTTTGGTACTTCTTCTTGTTCCTTACTCGGAGTAGATTTCTTCAAATGCTCCTCAACCCTGGTAGGTATCTTCTCTTGTATAGCAACCAACATTTTCACATTTATTTTCCTGCTGCGAGTAGTTATAGCCTTGCAGTGCTCTTTAGGGTTTGTTTCAATGTCATTAGGCAATGTTCCTGGACGTTTATTTGAAAGTGCCTTGACTATTTGTCCCATTTGATTCTCCAATTTTTTTATGGTAACACCCTGAGCTTGCAAGCTCTTATCCATTCTCTACATGTGTTGGGTGGAAATTTCTACTAGTTTAGTCACAAGATCTTCTAGTGAGGACTTTTTCTCATTCTGTTGAAATCCGGGTAGTGAGGTTTGCTATGGCATGATCTGAGCTCCTTGATTATTAGTCCATTGAAAACCTGGTTCATTTCTCCAGCCTGGGTAATATGTGTTAGGATTTGGATTGTGTTGTTGCCTTTAAAAATTCTGAGTGTAGTTAACGTCTTCTACTGTCTGAGCAAAAGGAGATCCTACGTTACAATCAACAAAATCGTGGTTCCCTCCACAATGTTTGCATTTTGGTCCCACTGTCTGGGCCACACTGATCTGATTTACCTCTATGTCAATGATGCCAATTGTGCTGAAAGTGCTATTAAAGAATCAACTTCAAATACCCCAGCAGCTTTCTTTCCACTCATTCTTTTGGTAGGCCAAAATACACTGGTAAATGCCAAATCATTCATGATTTGGTAGACCTGGTCCGCAGTTCTTTTTGTGATAGGACCATCACACACAGAGTCTATGTTAGCCCTGCTAATCGAGTTTAAACAAATGTAGAAGTACTGCACTTGAAGCCACTTCTACAATCCATGTTGTTGGCATTAGCTAAGTAAACCCTTGTATCGTTCCCAAGCCTTTGAATAGCATTCTAAGTCAATTTGCTAAAAAGTAGTGAGCTCATCCTTTAGCTTTGCAATCCTTTTTTGGTGGGCAATATTTGCTAAGAAATTTTTGACTCAATTGGTTCCAAGTTGTGATGTTCTGTGGTGGGCAAGTGTCTAACCACTCCCTTACTGAATCTCTCTATGTGTATGAGAAGTGCGTTAGTCTAATTGCTTCGCTTGAAACCCCTAGATACTTAATTGTTGCACACATGTCCAGAAATCTTGATATATGAGCGTTGGGGTTTCCTACTGCTTTTCCAAAAAATTGTAGCGCATTTTGGAACATGTTGATGACATCTGCCCTCAGGTGGAAGTTTGCCCGACCAAATGCCGGGTATACGATATTGGACTGGCTTTCCACTACTGGTGGAACCATATACTCTCCTGTGAGCTTTGAATTTTCATTAACAACAACTATATTTGGTTGTGCTACTCCCAGATTATCCCCGATGGCTATTTGGTTCGGGTTTTCGATTGCCATGTCTTCCTCTTTCTATTTTTGGTATGTTTCAAGCTGTTGTCTTCTTTGAAAGTTGAATAGTCGTTCGATTTCTAGGTCAAATTGAGCAAGATCACCAGTTCTCAAATTTCGCATACAAAGTCCTGAAAAAGAAACCAAGGAACACTGTAAAAATGTTCTAAATTAATGAACTAAACTAAAAATAAAAAAAAAAATTCAGATCAAAGTTAAAATTAACTAAAACTAGTCAAAAAAATATAGTTCCCGACAACGACGTCAAAAACTTGATCGTTTGATTACCTGCAAGTGAACGGGATCGTGAACAAGTAATAAAGTGGTGTATAGAGTGTCAAACCCATGATGACTATGTGTTTGATTGAGTTAAAGCTAATAATTCCCTTAATCGAATAGGAAAGCCGAGTTGTAACTACACTATTAAATCTATCAACTAAATAGAAAGCAAAGTAAAAGTTTATCAAATTCGCGAGAAGTATTGCTAAGATGTGGAATCCCTCTTATAACAATTTAAATTGACAATTTGAAATTATATTTGTTGGTTAATGTTCCTATTTTATTTAAAAGCTTCTCTTGATAGCCTATAAATCTAAACATGCACGTGATTTTCTATATCTCTATGAAAAATACAAACGTGCAAGAAAATATTAAACGAGCTAAAACATCCATAAAAATCATGTGAAGCATACAGGTATATCTCTATCCTCTATTGAACCTCACTATATTTATTACTATGTGCTAATGATCTTATTATCTCTCTCAATGACAATAATACCCACAAACAACCCAATTAATGGCCAATTAATTGAAAAGCAAACGAAACAATAATAAATATTCAAACAATTAAACAAATTATCGTCAATTTAATTACTCAAACTAACAACTTCATAAAAGGGGTTCATCACATCCTAGCAATAAAAAAATTTAGCCAAACCTGGGGTCGGAATTAAACAAGCAAAAGAAAGACATCACCAATAATTTGACGGAACGTGATAAATTTCACAATTAAAGCTACAGTATTTCGTCCGCTTTCTGCCAAAATTGCCTATTGCCTTTGTATCTCTTCCTCGATTTTTGTATGTGTGGCGTGTATATATATATTTTTTCCCAAGTCAGCAGCCTTTGTTCACTCCAAAAATGTTTGCTTTTGTGCATTTGTGTCTCTCTTCAACTATGCATGCATGTGTATATAAATGATTATCATCCCAGCCAACAACTCTTTTTATTCTGTCAAAATAGC